GCAAACAGTTGAAGAAGAAAAACATGCACTGGCTGATTATTTAAAAGAAAGTCAAAAGCACTGGAATTACATTTAAAACAGTTAAAAATTGACAAAATCACCATCAGTCAAATGCAAAAAGCCGCACTGCTTGGATCTGCACGCATATTATGAAAATACGTTACGATGTCCTAGGCCCCTGGGTGGGGCCCGACTAGTAACCAATGCCAAATCCGGCCGCTGTGATACAATTGTATAACAATAATAATGCCTTAAGATGTTAATTTATTGACATTTAACCTGTATAAGCATCTCACCCAAAATTATGAACTCTGGAGTAATTGTAATAAAAAAGAAACAAGAAATGTATTGTTTATCTGCTTATAACAGCAAAATCAATCATTATCTTCAAATGCAAAATATCTTAATAAATCTTCCAATGCAAAATAATAAACTTTTGCTTGAAAAATGGTTCAGTAACATTCCGTCTATTTCCTTGTTTGAGAAACTTCTAAAAAATTTCCATATTTAAAAAATGGAGTATTTTTACTTGATGTGCCAATAAATTCAGCTTAAGCAGCTTGCTTGTTTGTAAAAAGAATATATAGACTAATTTTAAAATAACTCCTTTGTTTCAGAATGAGGTCAATGCAATTAAATGGGATCCTTCTGGTATGCTTCTAGCATCCTGCTCAGATGATATGACGTTAAAGGTATGCTCTCAGGTCCAAGCATAGTATTTTCAAGAACTTGAACTAAAGTTTATAAAATATTATTTGTAAAGTTTTCAAAGGATTTGCAATGCCTTTAAAACCATCTGAAAACAGAACTTACTAGTCTTTTTTCGCCTAGTGACCCTGCATCATAGATGGACAAAATATTTCTAAAGGCAGATTTTATTTATCTCCATTCAATTGATTCTTTATATAGATTTGGAGTATGAAGCAAGACACTTGTGTACATGACCTTCAAGCACATAACAAAGAGATTTATACTATCAAATGGAGTCCAACAGGGCCAGGTACCAGCAACCCAAACTGCAACATTATGTTGGCAAGGTAAAAGCAAAACAATGCAATGTCTTCTATTCTTATACCAAGGATCTTGAAACACAGCTTCTCTTCCCAGTCCCTTAGCATCCTGTATTCTCAGATAGTTAATTGTTTACATTTTTACAAAGTTATTGATATTCTTCATAGAATATTAGAAGCATAAGCATGTCCTGGAAAGGTTGCCTTGCATTGTCAGCACTGGCAGAGGAGGAACAGGTTGTACTACATTTTTGTGCTGAGCAAAAACCTCTAACAGCCTGTGTAATTCCTATGATGCAGTTCCTACTTTGTCCTTTTCCTCCAAGCCTACTTATTTATCTCTGTTAAGCTTCATGGCCACCTACATGCTATTTATGGTTATTTATGACTACTGAGCTAGTATAGGGCTGTGACTTATGATATAGTCATTCAAGGAACTTCTCAGTATCAGCAATGGAATGAGGAGATAAGCCCAAGCACGTATTTTCATAGGAAGGCAGAGAACATTGCATAAGATCAATAGATTCTTTAACTTCAATAGTAATGTTTTAACCACTTACATTAGCAATATTCTCAATGAAAAAAATGTTTTTATCTCTTTGCTTCAGTGCTTCATTTGATTCTACTGTTCGGTTGTGGGATGTAGAAAGAGGTATCTGCACTCACACGTTAACAAAACATCAAGAACCTGTCTACAGTGTAGCTTTTAGTCCTGATGGAAAATATTTAGCAAGTGGATCTTTCGACAAATGTGTTCATATATGGAACACCCAGGTATGGTAAATCATGGCACTAATATAAGTTTAAACATGCTCTTTAAATTGTAGTAAATATGTTTATAACTTGTTTTTACTACATAATATAAATTTATTGATACATATACTTAAATAAATGTGGCAAAGGCCTATGAATCTAATAGACTTAACAAAAGGATAGTCCTGTCACTAGTAGCTTTGTGTCTAGGAGCAGGTGTGTATATAGTACACTGTAGACATATCTTACTTATGTTGAATAGTAAAAGTATGACCAGGATTCCTATTCTAAAATGATTTTCAGCAATAAAACTATATAAAATTTGATTAAATCATACTCGTTAAAAACAATAAGTCTTTTCCTCAGCTTTATCTTTTCATTCACTGTTATCAACAGTGTTTTTTAAATAGCTTAATTAAAAGTAGATAACCCAGTACTTTCCAGGTACTTTAGACTCCAACTGCCATTAGATACACTGTATAATAACAACAGAATGTCCAGCAACATGTAGCAAGATTGATTGTTTGAAAATAAATTTAAAGCAAGTTTAATGGAGACACTTAAATGTTCATGTTTAATGTGTATGTTTTTCGCCATGTAGACTTCAGGTTTTGAATTTAGTCCTTAAACTAACCTAATTTAATATTGTTGCATTTTTTATCTGTCAGAAGGTCTGTTCTTACGTTGATTCTCAGTCAAATTCTCAAAGGCAACCTTGAGGCTAATGAGATTAGCTGTATTCCTTTCTAGGAATAGCAGTCTGCACTCAAGATAAGTGAACTTAATTAAGAAATTATATCAGTCCAGAAATATTGCTCAAATACCAATGTATTCTGTTACAGGAGTGACTCCCAATGTTGCTAAATTTTTGGCAAGCCTCAACATTTTTATACTGGCTGAAAGTGTTATCAGTTATAATTTGGATCACTTGCTATAGGGTCAAATTCTTATAAATTAGAAGCAAAATTACATTTTAAGCGCAGTTTCATTCTTAGTTATTTTTTAAATTCAGTTTTCAGTTTTATGTAGACTCCTTACTTGTTACTCACCCAATATGTATCCCTAGTTAAAGGCCAAATACTTTGTATAGTAAGTTAATAGTTAACAAATATCTGTGTTATCAAGATAATGATGAAAACCATCTTGAATGCATTTGGATCAATATAAAAAGGGGGGGTGACATTACCATAGATGTATACTCTAGGCCAACCAACCAAATAGAAGAAATAGATGGTTTTTATAGTCAGTTAACTAAGGTATGTAGGAAGTACATCACAATAGTAATGGGGAACTTAAATTATCCAGACATCAAATGGGAAACAACTTTACACCAAGTGGAAGATCAAACAGTTTCCTGACAAACCTAGCAGACAACTTTGTCTCCCAAAAAGTAGAGAAGGGAACTATGAGGTCAGTCATATTGGACTTAATTCTCACTAACAGAGATGAAATGATAGAAGGTGTTGAAGTTATGGAAATCTTGTGTGGGGAGTGATCATGCAATATTGGAATTCAACATTATGCAAGTGCAAACAATAGAACAAAGTTAAATTTGAGTCTTGGACTTTAAGAGAGCTGATTTCAATAAATTTAGAGAGCTTGGGAAGGATTCCATGGATGAGAATACTCAAAGGGAAAACAACCCAAGAAGCTTGGGGAATTTTGAAAAGTCAGATTATAACAGCCCAGTCTAGCACAATTTCAGTGAAGAAGAAAAGTAACAGCTCTCAAAAGGAACCAGCATGGCTGCATAAAGAACTTTCTGATAAACTAAAAGACAAAAAGGACAAGTATAAAAAGTGGAAAGAGGGGTACAAAACTAAGGCAAAATATCAGCAAATAGCCCAAGCTTGCAAAGATGAAAGTAGGAAAGCTAAGGCTCAAAACAAACTAAGGCTTGCAACAAAAGTAAAAAATGACAAAAAAAACACCCCGTTTCTTTCAGTATGTAAAAAATGAGAAAAAAAAATCAATGAAATGATTGATGGGAGAAAATGGTAAGAAGGTGATGAGTAACAGGGAGAAAGCTGAACTGCTTAACTTGCCTTTTGCATCTGTCTTTACAAAAAAGGGGAAAAAACAGCCCAATCTTCTTCAAAAGATTAATGATATAAACATATAGTTATCCATTTGGAACATGGATATGCAAATGCAAATGATCAAGTTATTTACTCCATAAGCTATAGCCATAAGCTATAATGCAAGTATTATTTATAGAAATGTATGTGTTATGATATCAGTATTGAAATTGCAAACATAATGGTATAGATTTGTCCCCTGAATAAAGATGTTCTATTTATTCATAGAGTGGGACTCTAGTACATAGCTACAGAGGCACCGGTGGAATATTTGAAGTCTGCTGGAATGCTAGAGGAGACAAAGTCGGAGCCAGTGCTTCAGATGGATCGGTATGGTTTCTTCAGTTTGGGTTTTATTTTGTTTTTAGTTATACATAAATGAGTGCATTTCAACACTGCAAGTATTTCTTCTTGTGATGCATTAGTGGTCTCTCTGCCAAAAGGCATAATTCAGACAAATTTATTCAGATATGATGGAGTAAAATCCGGCAAAAAAATCTAGTTCTAAAGCTGAGGAGACAAGAAACCACAAATCTCAGCCTAAATAGAATCGTTAAATGTGGAACAGATGCCCCCAACAATTACAAGATGGCCAAGAGTTCTTTGCCTTGAAAAGACGGGGGGGGGGGGGGGGGGGGGGGGGGGGAAGGCCTGAGGTTTAAATCCTGGAGATTTGGCTCCTGGCTGTGTAGGCTTTTTGAAAAGTTTGCATTAAACTTTGCTCTCAGGAGTGGCTAGCTGGGGGAAATGGGTTCTTTTGGCCAGATAATTTTTTTCTTTTCTGGGAAGTGTGCAGCTGGAGGGTATTTGCCAATAGAAAGTGAGTCTTTTCCTCTTGGGTTCCCTCCTATTCTGCCATGCATTTCCTGCTGACCAGGCTAGAGCACATTGGGGGGGGGTGTGTCTTTGCACAATGCAGCATCAGTGCCTGGCTTTTGGAAAAAGCAACTTACCCCAAACTGTTTCTTTGCTGGGAGATGAGGCTCCTTTGGAACTTTATTCCAGCAAATTCCCATCATTGCTAAGCAGTTAAATGTTAGAGGCCTAGTATGCTTGGATTTTAACAGGAAGGATTTTTCAGTGTCATAGCAGGGAGGCAGCACTAAAATAAGGCATGGATGCCTTGTGGCTCTGGCCAAGGCTTGGAAAGCCCAGTGTAGGCCATGCACGAACCTCTCACTTCTAGTGCTGAAAATTCTCACTGCTAACATCCAAGGGGAAAGCATTGGGGGGGGGGAACTGTCAGGGAAGATTGCAAATGACAAGCACATGTCTGTGGGATGCTTGGCAATCTGTGGTGAGCAGTGTTTTGTGATGAACGGAAGTGTTTTACAGATAGTAAAGCACTGTTCCAAGGGCATCTTAATTTTGAACAGTTGTTAAGGTACCAGTCATAAGTCAAAAACTATCTATAATGGCCAGGTTCAAATGAAGCTATTTCTTGCTTTCAGTGTATGTTTTTGCACACTTGAAAAATTTGAGTAAGAATTTGATTTTAGGCAATCCTTATTCTTTAGCTAGCCTTTCTTTCATCTGAGTCTTTGGAATACTCAAGATTTAAAACTGAGTGAGTCTGAACATTTTATGAAAATGCAAGTATGCTCTTGTTTATTATCCTGATAGAAATGTATACAATTGAATTATCAAAAGTTATTATGAGGTTATTTGAGGAAATGTGACCAAACACCGGGCACCTACTACCACATGTGGTGGTCATGTAGAAAACCAAAGAATATTGGCAAAAGATTAGAAGGTGGTTGGAAGAAATGACTGGACAGAGAATGGAACCCAAACCAGAAATATTCCTATTAGGAATTATTAAAGAGGATTTAAGCAAAGGGTTAACATATTTAACACTACATATCATAACAGCTGCGAGAATAGTTTATGCCCAACAATGGAAGAATGGAAACATAAACTAAAGAAAGGGAAATAATAAATAAAATACTTGATTGTGCAGAATATGATAGACAGACACTAGAATTGAAAAATAAAGGAGAGACAGAATACTATGAGATTTGGGATAGATTTTATCAGTGGTTGGATTTAAGGAAGGGAAGTCGAACAAATAAGCACAAAGATGCATAGATTGAGACATAAGACAATACAGGTAGTATATTATATAATTATAATTGTTATTGCATTCTTGTAGAAGAGATTAAGCATGCATATGTAATCAGTAAGTATAAATGTGTATTGAATTCTCATTGCTTGTATGTATTGAAAAGATTTGTGTTATTTGCTGTATGGCGGAGAAACCGCCAAGACAGTTTCACCATGTCCAACATTTTCTTTTTTAACAATAAAAGTTTTTTTTAAAGAGTTTATCTGATGCCCAATTTTTCTGTGTTCCAGGTGTGTGTTCTAGACCTGCGAAAATAAATATTTTAGAAGAAACTGCAAATGGACCAGCATTGAATGTGGAGGTGGAAGCACTCTTCAAACATACTTTTAACATCTCTGGAATGGCAAAAACTGGGGGAAATAAACAGAAGCAGAACTAAACAAATAATGCATTTCTCCCAGGCAAAAGGAGCTTGCAATGTTTTGTTCACCAGCCTTCACCAAGGTTTTAAAACAGAATCACTTAGGGAGGGGGGATTTTTCCACTATGAACTTACAGCCTTTGGAGGCAGCAAGAAGATGACCATCAACAGCTAAACCTGCTGTTTGCTGGGGTCAGATCTCTGAAACCTCATTTTGACAGCTGCTAAAAAGAAGACAAAAAGCTGTGCCAAAAACAATAACAATTAAAAGGAAAACAAAATCTACGAAGCAAAATGCTTTGATAAACCAAAATGGGAAAAAGTTCTCCTCCATATGGTATTGCATTGTTTTTCTTTCTAGTTTGGACACTATAATTGCTCTCCCAAAGGACGTTCAAAAACCAGTTTGTATTGATGATACACTCAAATTTGTAATCCCAACACTTTGTATTTTCTAGACTACTGTTATTTGTTCAGTGATTTTTTTCTTATCAGCTGGAATGTTACAGCCTTGACAATAACAGGCATAGGTTCAAACTGAATGTTTTTTTTCTTTCTTTCTCTTTCTTTCTTTCTTTCTTTCTCTCTCCCTTTTTTTCTTTCTATCTTCTCTTCACCAACTTTTTGCTCTGTTCTTTCCATTTGTGCCTAGTTAATGCAAAGGGCAGATGGGCATCATTAGTGACGGCTTCTGTTTTCCATTTCTTCTCTTCACTCCTCCCCCCATCTTTTCTCTTTTCTTTATCCTTTGATTCTGCTACTTCTTTAATGTTTCCATGCTTCAGATCTTGAAATCTGAAGGGCACTTTCAAAAAATTGTGTATTAAGTGCTTTAGGTGCTGGAAAAGCTTTTTACAGAAGAAAGATTACTTTTTAAAAAAAGAAAGAGCCCCATGTATTTTTTGAATAAGAAATAAAGATCGTAGTATTTTTATGTTAAAACACAATTTTAGAAACTTAAAATATCTAACATATGTGGATTGGATTGTACTCCATCATTTAAAAGAACAATTCAAATGAATCCCTATTTAAAGATGCAGTATCTTTTTAATCTTCATGAAAGGCAGTTTTGCCTATACTTCTTTTAAAAAGATTGTTTAAATTAATCATGCAAGTAGTAAAATATTCCATGGCATAAATTCATTATCCGATGTTGTTACTTGACAGAATATTAAAACATAATTTCAGAATTATAAACTTCAAAACTTACTTTGAATTAATTTTTTCTTAAAAATCAGGACTTTTTAAAGGAAAAAATATTACCATTGGTGTACCATGATTCTGCTTTCAAATATAGACATACTTGAAGTTATGAAAGAATTAATCTTAACATTTCACTCTATATGAAATACTATTTACAAATTATGTAGAGATGTTTGATAGACAGAACCGATTTCATCATTTTTATTTTTCAAATAGTATTTCACCCCAAGATATTAGACTTGAGTGCACTCAAAGAAATTCACTTCTAAGTAGACATGCATAATATTACTGCTTAAGACAATACTTTAAATCTGGCTTCAAATCAACAATAACTGGGTAGTGAGGCATATTAATAGAATAAATAAACTACAGATAGTCCTCGAATTACAATCACAGTTGGGACTAGAATTTCCATTGTGAAGCAAGATGATTGTTAAGTAGGTTGTGCCCAATAATACAACATTTTGCCACAGTTAAGTGAAATATTGTAGTTGTTAAGTGAATCACATGGCCATTAAAAGTATCTATCTTTCCCCATTGACGTTGCTTGTTAGGAGACAGCTGAGAAGGTTGCAAATGGTAATCACATGACCCCAGGATACTGCAACCCTACATGCCAGTTGCCGAAGTGGGGGTGCTATGATAGTTGTAAGTGCACGGACTGGTTGTAAGTTACTTTTTTCAGTGCTGTTGTAACTTTGAATGGTTGCTGAATGAATGGTTGTAAGTAGAGGACTACCTGTATTGTAATATTAAAATGATAAAATATTATTCCATAACCAATTCTGGAATAAAATTCTGGATATTCTATTTGAATTTAGACTTAATTGAGATACATGTGAACTAATGGGATACTACATCTTTAATATGGTAAACAGGGTTCCTGTATGGGGAATCAAACTGCCTAATATTCCTAGGATTCCACAAAGATTTTTTCTTAATATAAGAGATTGCATTTTTATTTTTTATTTTAAAACAAAACTATAATCTTGGTCCCAGGTGATGTGCACTTTTTTTTTCATTTTTATAGCTTGTTTCCCTATTTTTTCTTTTCTTCCTTCCTTCCTTCCTTCCTTTCCAAATTATATTTTCAGCGATTCACTGATAGTCTAAATTCTGGCTTCTGAAGTTTTATTGTCTGTGTCAGACTTGAAGCCAGGCTTGCTTGTCATTTCAGCGTTTCATAAATTCAGTTGAAACACCTCCCCTTGCCCATTTTCTCTCTATATCCATCCCCTCTTACATGCACGCACACACATACACATACCTAAAACCCACACTCAATTTTTGCAACAAATCACCTTGTATGTTGTAATTCATTTGTTCCAAGAAGAAAATCAAGAGATCATATTCAGTGTCTTGAATAAATTGCTATATTTTGATATTAGAACAATCTTGTGTGAGTTATTCCTTATATACTATCAGCATTTTCTTTTTGTCTTCAGTTTTTAAAACTTTTATATTACTAAGGACTCATGTTGCAGAATTGTATAATTTTGTTTGTGCTACATATGGAAACATTGTATGTTTTAGTCACTAAAATTCTTTAAGTACAGTATACATTACATATATACAGTAATACTTCTGACATTTTATGAGGCACTATCAACCTTCTCATCTTTTCAGAATTAAAGACTAGAAATGTACAGAATAGATTTTGCATAGTTAAAATTATGGTTGGATTATTCAAAGTTCCTTAATGGAATTTACAATTTTTAATAGTAGTGTTTATGATAAAAAGAAAGCTACTGTGGAATTTCCTCAGAAATAGCTGCCAATATAGATAGGTTATTTTTTTTTAATATATATATTTTATTATGTTTTTCATTCTATACAGACATTTGAAGACTAAAACATTAAAAAAAAGGTTATTTTTTTTTAATGTTTTAGTCTTCAAATGTTATGTACTTGTAGTCTCCAAATAATAGGTAAATGGGATATTTCGAGTATCCCATAAACAAAGTAAACTAAAAAAGTAAAACATTGGTATGTGACAGGATTATGTTTCTGGGCATTATTTATTTATTTTTATTAGATCTTAGCTGGAGTGTTTAGAATTTTTTAAGCACCTTATTCAGCAAGGAAGTGTGGAAAAAAGAAAGGAAGAAAGGAATGCACATCAACCCAAAAGAAACATTCTGTGAAGTTGGAGTAGTGGTGGTTTATCCCTCATTAAAATAAAGCAAAGAAGAGCAAATGGTAATCAATGCATTCAAATGAGTAAAGTAAGGGAGATGTTTCCAGTCCTGGATATGTTTTGAAAATTATTTGAAAAAATGCTTCAGTCTTTGTTTTACTTCAATATCTCTGTTGTTCATTGAAGCACCCTGACTTTTTATAGGCTGAAAAAAAGATACATCATTTTTTCAGCCTATAAAAAATCCATTAAGAGTGGATTCCTTAACGATGTGGCATCTCTGTTTCAGGTTTGTGCAGAAGCCTGAGAAAAGTCAGGATGCCTTAAATAATTATCCAAGTAATGTTGTGTTTCCATGAAATGCAAAATGTTATTACTTTCAAAGTGTGCATCATCTATATTTTCTGTCTCAAAGTTGAAGGAAGAATCATAAGCAATAGGTTGTTACGGAGGAACCATAACAAACCTATAATCCACAGCTTAATTTAAATGTTTTGTGCACATTATTTAGTATAAAACAAATTAATGGGTTATACTTGAAATGTAGAGTTTAGTTGTACTAGAAACAGTATCTAGCATAATAAAGGAGAGAGAACTTTTATTAAGTTCAGATAAATATAGAATACCAACAACTGTTATTTTTATAAAGGAGAAAATTGTAGAATGCACTTTAAAGTCTTAACAGCAAGACTTTTATTATACAAATTTACAAAGTCCCAATAAGAGTTGAAATGTTGAAAACCCAAACTTTGATGTTTTGCCTCATTTTCCATCTCCTAGCATAGATGGAAAAACCACAGTGGAAAAAGTAAGTTTCCTACTATTGACAGGAAAACAGCTGAATGCTGTTACAATGTTATTTGGGATTGGAAATGTGACTTTCAGCCATCAAAGTTAATGTTGCATTATTTTTTCTTTCCCTCCTTCTTTGAACCTCTCTAATGCACCAACAAATAAATGAGATTTCAGCAGTGTTTCCCAAACTTTCTCCTTCATTACCCAAAACTGCTGATCAGGAAGTCCTTATTTAAATGTTCTTGTTGTAATTGGGTAATGAGTTACCAAAGAAAAACCACTTTTGCCCAATGTTGGTAATTTACCCAGGTATGAAAGGTAACTGGGCTTTCAGTTTGTGTGAAAGTCCAGGCTTCTTTTATTTTTGTAAAAATGTGGCCTGAAAATATTCCTTAATTAAAAAGAAACAAATTATCACAAACATAGATGTGAAGGTGTTATTTCCATCACCATTCTAATAAGTTGACTTCTACACATTTTCTCAATCTTTTTGAATGCCCCCGTTGATGACTATTGAATTGGACCCGCTTTTATAGTAGAAATGGGATAAGATTATATCATGTAGCTTTTTAATGATTTTTTCAAATTCTGACAAAAAGTCAGTGAAACAAACTTTCAATTCTTGATCCCAGAGTGATTATTGGTTATCTTAAATCCAGATATAATACAACAGATAGAAATTTGCTTTGGTTTAACAAGCAAATATTACAATATCACTTCAATTGATTTTCTGGGGTGGGAGAACGGTCTTGAATACAATATTAATATCCACAGCTGATGCTTGTTTTGTTCATAATGCAGAAGCCCTTGATAAATCTGAAAATTCCAACTTAACTCTAATGAAATCCTGGATGTTTAACTATAAAGATACGTTTTATATATCTAGGGCTGTAATGTTTTCTTGTGTATTGTATCTGTTATCCACTACTGCTTCCTAATTCTCCAAAAACCAGCCTTGATAAATTTCAAACTAGCTTTCAAATATTTTTGGTACTTGTTTTGCTTAGAAGTTCCAGCTCTTTGACCAGATTTGCCAGTCTGATAGTAACTTTCTTAAGATTTGGACTTTTCCAAGAGGTTGAAAGTACCATAAGGTCAGGAAAGGTTGCTATATTAAACTTTACTGCTTAAATAGTGGTAACGCATAATTTCTAAAATTCTGCTGTTGCTTTTTTTACTTAAAATCACTATAATATTGCATGCATGATCAGATTTAACGTAACAAAATTGGAATCAAAAGGTTACAATTTTAACTGTTTTATCAATTCCAGCTATTATGCCCATGTCAAGTCTAGAAAACAGTTGATAATTAATTTTCACTGTATGTACCATCTAGGCACTGTTGGTTTCCCTTGTTATTTAAATGTTACATCTTTCATTTTTTGGTTGATTGCCAAATAGCTGAAGGGTCTAACAGTTCTTTCTCAGATTTTTCTTCACCTAGCTAGCCTCACCATCTACAAGCCAGACTCTTAACTCCATTTCTTCCAATCATGTCAGATTCTTAAAGACAAATGCCAAAAAAAAAAACCCCTTATTGGCAAGGTTTTTCAGAAGTGATTTGCCATTACCTCCTTCCTAGGGCTGAGGGAAAGTATCTGGCCTAAGGTCACCCAACTGGGGTTGAACTCATGGTCTAGCAGTTCCTAGGTTGATGCTTTAACCACTACCCCAGACTGGCTGTCTCCTATCTCCATAACTATGTTCTTAATTGATTTCTGCAATGAGGTAAAAAAAAAAAAAACAGTTGGATGCTATCCTGGGGAGACGTAACAAAATAGATTTCTAGTGCTTTGAACATATAGAGGGATATAAATGTTAATAATAAATAACAAATTTTCAATAAGAATATAATTAGCAAAATACTTGA